AAGAAGTCCGGTTTCCAGAGAGAGGCAGCCATCCACCCTGGGAGGGTCCCCAAACTTGGTATCCTGACTCTTGTCACTTCCCGTCTGTTCCCGGTCTGCTGTGCCAGTTCCCAGATCCAGTACTTTCCATGGTCCCTTCTCCTGTGACTTAATCTGGGCTCTGGAGAAGGAAGTCGGGCTCTTCCAATTACTTAGCTTTTCCTTACCTGTAAAATGCAAGCAATAGTACTGAAGTCCGTGTTCCCGTGAAGATTGAGGAGAATGCAAGGTTCAAACAATGCTGACGTTCACAGTCCTGTGTTAACAGAATGCTGGAACACATGTAGATACTGGGGAATGCCTCAGAAGAGCATGGGGTCTGCAAATTACCTAAATACCTGCCAGTAATGTGTTCTGGAATCCCACATCCAGATCTAGGGTTCTTTATGGCTGGTGCGAGAGCAAGCATCAGGGCATTTAAAAACATTTCACGGACTATCCTCTCACTGTCAGGACTTCACACTTCTCAGCCATCCTTACGGGGGAGGAAAATACAATGTTCATTGTCAGCAACCAGAGGGAGCTGATCCATACGCAGATCGCTCTGACTCCTTACACCCAGAAGTAGCAAAAGAACACAAAGTGGGACACTTAACCCATGTTCTTCCTTAAGAGTCCTGAACACACAGCTTTGTACGCATCTGAGCAGCAGTAGGGCATCCCCGGCGCCCCCTGCTTCAGCACACACCCCTTTCTTTTTTTTTTTTTTTTTTAAATTTTTTTTTTTTTCAACGTTTATTTTTTTGGGACAGAGAGAGACAGAGCATGAACGGGGGAGGGGCAGAGAGAGAGGGAGACACAGAATCGGAAACAGGCTCCAGGCTCTGAGCCATCAGCCCCGAGCCCGACGCGGGGCTCGAACTTCCGGACCGCGAGATCGTGACCTGGCTGAAGTCGGACGCTTAACCGACTGCGCCACCCAGGCGCCCCACCACACACCCCTTTCTAAAGAGCCAATGGCAAAAACCCAGGTGTGTAGGACATTATTCAACAGCATGACCTTTGTTTCTCTGGGATTGGTTTTGGTTTCTCATTTCATTCACTTGCTTTTATTGTGACAAATGAATATGCCATTTTAGCCAGTTTTAAGTATGTAATTCAGGGAAATTATATTCACAATGGTGTGTAACCATCACCACTATCTATATCCAGAGCTTTTTCAGTATATGTGCTGCCGAAGCGAGCACTATCCAGAGCTTTTTCATGATCCTAAACTCTACCCTCTGAACCATGACTCCCGTCTTCCAGCCACCCCTTTTCTCCATGAATTTGCCAATTATGTAACCTTTCGTATGTGACCTACTTAGTGTGTTGTCAGGGTTCATCCATGCTGACCACATGCATCAGAAGTTTCATTTCTTCAAATAACATGACACTGTGTGCACGAGCCCCATTTTCCCCATTCATCTGTTGAAACTTTGGGTTGTTTCCACCTCTTGGCTGTTGTGAAGAGTTCTGCTAATAATGAGTGTACGACTAGCCATGTCCCCTGCTGGCCAATTCTTTGGGGTATATGCCCAGTAGTAGACTTGCTGTTCTTAGGAGGAGTCCATGCTTAACTGTGAGGAGCCACCAAACTGTTCTCCTCCGTAGCTGCACCATCTGCCGTTCCTGCCAGCAATACACACAGATCCCAGTCTCTCCACTCCTGGCCACCACTTTTCCACCTTGGGAATAGCCATCCCCATGGTGTGAGGTAGCATCTCTTGGTTTTGATTTGCATTTCCCTAATGACTAATGATGTTTTTTTTCCTAGCATTATGTTTAAAGTGTTATCTAAACACCCTTTTTATCACAACCAGCTGGGGATTTTTATTGAAAATGTTGACTAACTCAAATTCTAATTCAGTAGGGCTAGAGAGGCCTTGGGATGTATTTAACCAGTACTCTGCATGGCTTTTACGTATGAGCTTTTAAAACTCTTCAAGTACGAAAACTAAATAAAGCTTTAGGTGTCTTGGTAATCAAGAAATTCTATATGGTCTACTTAAGGAATACACATTTTTTACTTGATTCTGCCTCTTTTGTTTGAACCTGACCACTAACCATATTATCAGGGGCAGAGGTTTTTAGTGCTTTAGATTACAGTGAAAAATGGCATCTGATCATAAAGTATTTAACAACAGTTTATAAATCTGTGATCACAAATAAGATCTCCTGGTTATATGAGTGGTATTTAAAGGCTGCTAAACCTACCTGAATTTTTTTAGTGTAAGAGAGGGGGCAAAAACGTGTGTGTGCTGAGTGAAACACAAAGATTTCCTTCTTTCCTTCTCTTCCTTGACATCAGTCAAGACTTGCTTTCTGCTCATAGCACAAATTCTCTTCGTAAGAGTGGGATGCAAATGGGTTTCATTTCCAGTGCCATCTCTGGTAGTGGCTGCTTGAAATGCACAGGATTCGGACACCCATCTTTGGACACCGTGCCTAGTGAGGTCTACGCCACCAGGAGCTCACTGGACTAGATGCCATCCATGTTGTGGGGTAATCAAGTGCTGAGGGTATAGTAGGCTGACTTCGTATTTTCCAATTAGGAACCACTAAAATGAAGTAAACTTTCCCATAATTAAGTGCAGGAGGACACGATTTTTCTATAGCCACTCCCATACATGTAGTTTGCAGAAAGAAATGTGGGCCTTAAAAAACTAATCATTATAATAAAAATCAGCAAAACAAAAAACTGTTCTCCAACAATCAACATATAAAACTGGCCCATGATTCAACCCAACAGAACAAATTCAAGTTTAAGAATGTAAGCGCAAAAGAGGAGCACCTGGGTGGCTCAGTAGGTTGAGTGTCAGACTTCAGCTCAGGTCATGATGTCAGGTTCATGGAGTTCGAGCCCCACATTGGACTCCCTGTCAGTGCAGAGCCCACTTGGGATCCTCTGTCCCCCGGTCTCTCCCAAAAGTAAACATTAAAAAATACATGTATGTATAAACGCAAAAGAACAAAGTTTAAGAAGATCACCTATCCCACCCTATACAATTCCCTGAAAGAAAACACCAAGACACCAAATGACAGGGCAGGGCATTAATAGGAGAAAGAACACTGATTATAACAAAGATGATTAAAATCTCAAGTGGACCAAGAAATGGCTATAGATCTCATCATCCCTCTAGACCAAGAATATGAAGATGACTTAAAATATAGTTAAGATTAAGATGTCAACCTTATAGCTGTCAAATTACATTTTGTTTACTATAGTAGACAAAATTTACTATCTTAATTTGCATAAAATAGCAAAACATGAGGTTACAATGAAAGAGAAAATCCTACACACTGCTACTCTGTGTCCATTGAAACCTCTCCAGAAAGTGATGATAAAAAAAGTAACAAGATCTTAAAAAAAAGGATCCCAAGGATAGAATCAGGAAACATATAGAAATGTTCACAGGTTATTTATAAATAGCCAGAAAAGATTTACATGGATAAATTGGACAAAGCAGTATCTAACATCAGGAAACTGGATAAAATTATAATTAATCCTCACAAACATTTCCCAAAATGGTGTCTAAAATTATGCATTGGGGGGCGCCTGGGTGGCGCAGTCGGTTAGGCGTCCGACTTCAGCCAGGTCACGATCTCGCGGTCCGTGAGTTCGAGCCCCGCGTCGGGCTCTGGGCTGATGGCTGAGAGCCTGGAGCCTGTTTCCGATTCTGTGTCTCCCTCTCTCTCTGCCCCTCCCCCGTTCATGCTCTGTCTCTCTCTGTCCCAAAAATAAATAAACGTTGAAAAAAAAAATTTTTTTAATAAAAAAATAAAATAAAATTATGCATTGGCTGTGTTATGTGTGAGGGCATGAAGGGGTTATAAACGATCAAAACACACGTAAATACACAAAGGACTAGAAAAATAAAAATGTTCCCAGTCATCTCTGAATGGACGCCTACATCTCTCTCTTGCATGTGCCATTTTCTCACCCCCAAACCCTACACTGAGGACACACTACTTTCATAATCCGAGAAACACTTCAAAATATTTTAAAAACAAAATGATACACTTCCACCAAAGTATTCAATACATCAAATGAGGAGGGAAAACTGCTTTTCCAAAAACATGCTAACAGGAATAGACCAAGATACACTTTTGTGGTTGACCTTTCACCACAAAAATGGCTATACAAGCAGATGTTACAACCAATTCAAAAAATAATGCTTATGTCAGGGAAGAGACTACACAAATCTCATTTCCTGGAAATGGTTACCAGAAGTAAATTCTGGTATCCAGAATTGGTGGTGGGATAAGGGGGTAGTCCAGGTATCCAGAATTGGTGGTGGGATAAGGGGGTAGTCCAAATTAATTTTAACTGACTTTCTAAGTTCAGTGCACCTGTAAAAACCACACAAAGTGATCTTTGGCCATTCAGAAGGCAATTTCAGAATCCTGTCAGGTGCCTCAGGGTAATTAGCAAGTTAAAGATACAGTTCTGGTTAAAGGCATAATAACAGCAGCTAACATTTGCTGGGTACTTATTGTGTGCAAAGCACTGTTCTAGGTTAACTTACTGGTATCACATCTCGCCCTCTGGGGTAGCTACCATAATTAACCCTATCAGACACATTAGGAAACTGGGGCCCAAGGTCCCATGGCTGATAAGTACAGTAGAACTAGAACGGCATGTAGGTCCTTGGAAGTCAGCTGTAGAGCCCAGGCTCATAACCATTTTGCTATGAAATACTAACTCATCTTTATTGTGTTTCTTTTTCTTAAGGGGGAAAAAGTGATCAGCATTTTAACTAATTACAATTAGTCTCCTAACAGAATTGTGAGAATACAAATGTAAGCAAGAGGGAAGAAAAACAAGACTGTGTAACGGAGGCCATATACTTATTCTTTTGCTTAGAATAATTCTATCACACTTCAAAATGCAGCACACTGTTTTCAGTTATGAAGTACAGAATTGAATGGGAAAACTATTTGGATTTTAATCAAACTTAGAGCTAAAGCAGACACGTTAAGAGTTTTTAATTTGCCAGATATTCTTTTAATGAGAATTATAAAAGACCAAAAACATTTTTTGCAAACTGCCTTTTTTTAAACAAATGATTTGCTTTTGATTACAAATACTGTCTAAGACGATGCCTTCTTTTGCAAAACCAATAAATACAAGAACAAATTTTAAACAAGTGATTTGTCCAAGATATTTGGAAGAAAAAAGCCTGATTTTTTTTTCCAAAAATAAAAAAAAAAAAAAAAATCAGTATTCCCTAACCTTTTAAAGAATAAGTTCAAAGATATGACTCAAGTGGAGAAAAAGAGACAGAGACAGAGACCATCTTATAACTGCTTTAAATACCTCCTGATAATTCTGATGTTACCTTTCCTTTCTGGAATTCATATCTTCACAAAAGAGTTGAATTGAAAATATTTCTAATGAACTGATTAATGAGGGAAAGGAAAATATGTACTGAACACACATGTATAAATTTTACCATAAACAATTATGCATATCAAAAAGACACTAACTTTAAAAAGGTACAAAATAAAGTGAGGAAAAACCTGAATTACAGAAAAGAAAGTCAAATTTATTTAATGAAAAACTAGAATTAATAAAAATTAGCAAATACACACAAAAAAATATACACACACAGCAGCACTATGTATTGACTCACAAAGGGAAAAGCAGTGGCCCAAGACCACGCAACATGGCTTGTCGGTTAAAGAAAAACACACACACACACACACACACACACGCACACGCACACGCACACGCACACGCACACACGCACACAAACTTGCAGGCACACACACAAACAAAAACCCGGTATTTTTCAACAGTACACTCAATCTACAACACAAATTGAGAATTATTTTACAATGCTTCCTTTCTTAATACAAAAGATGCCCATCTTGGGTGTATATATATATTTTTTTCAGTGGTTTACTGTTGACTTATTTTTAAATATATTAGTGTTACTACATGCAACTGTTTCCTGTATTTAACAGCCTTTCCTCTTATTTACCTTCATGTGTCTAGCTTCCACCTACCAAAAGTTTCAGGTTGGCAGGCAGATGGGTGCCTTATTCTCTGTGAAACTGAATGCAATGGTTTTAAACACTGGCCAGAAAACGTTTGATTGCCATTTCAACACATGGAAATAGTTACATTGATGCCTAAATTGCCATTTTCTGCAAAAAGCTGTGCAATGCTGGTGTCAAAGACTAGGCAGTCGCTATTCATAATGGCTGTTGCAATTCCCTCATGAATAGATCGTGGAGTCGCTTCCCAAGTCAATCGCCGCCTATGACCATTTAGCTCAAGTCGATAAGCAAAATTTTCAGCTTGCTTGCGTGTTCCTATCAGCTGTACAATTGCAAAGAACTGCTGGTGACCGTCGTACTTTTCCTGTTTCTCCAGGACTAACATGAAGTGAAAGCCAAAACAGGACTGCATCATCACCCAGTCAACAGCACCTGGAAGATTAATGTCTGTAGCAAGGAAAACTATATCCTCTCCCTGTAGGGTTGTAATGGACTTATGCTGATGCATCAGATGGGGCATTACAGCATCCAAAGAGCCTTGCCATTTACAGGAAGCACCGGGGCACGGACACGAATAAGGCCTAAACTCACAGAGCTCTTCATGGTCTGCTTTTTCTGTGTGTGGCAGAGTTATTTCACATCCAGAAGAGGCATATTTACAAGGGAAAAGTACGGAATTGGCCACCTTCTCCATAGCCAAGTTGCGAATGGATCCCAACGGGCCCCGGCAGGTTGGACAACATGTGAGCTTTGGGCGACAGTTGCTACAAACAAGATGGCCACTCTGACACTGAAGAATGGGTGGTAACACATAGTCAAAGCAGACCGGACACTCAAAAAGACTCGCCAAGTCATTATTGGATGCAGTTGTGCCAGTCAGGGCAGGCACCCTCTGGGACGGCGTACACTTTGAGGTTCCAGTGGGTAATGCTGTTGCAGTCTGGCGGCTCATTTCTGTAACAAAAACCATAAGTAAAAATAAAAAGAGGCAGGAGAAAAATAACTACAACTATCATTTGTTTCATAAATAATGTTTACATGCCAGAAATACTTAAGTTTCATGCAAAACGTACTGTGAGCAAAAGGATAAAAGGAACACAGACACCGGATTTAAAAACCATAAATTACACTAATTACACATTTTGATTATCAGGAGTTGTATACCAGACAAAGCTCTTTATCAAAATGTTCCAGAACACATGCAGAATTCCTTTTTAAGAACTATTAAAAATCTCCTTGGATGGACTAGACGACATGGAATAAATGCTGAAACAGAAACTGGGCCATAAACTACTAAGAAACACCATTTAAGTAGCTTAAGCCCAATCAGATCAGTTTTGACTGGTCTTTCTCCTCCCTCTGTCTCTGTGTTCAATTCCCCTGCTCAGTCTATTTCTTTCCCATTCTGAGTCAGCCACCAGCAGCTACAGGGAGCTACAAGTGATCCAAAGGGTCACCAGGGCACTAGCTTTGGTTAACACCGCCTAATGGTAAACAGTTACCTGCTTTAGACATGGATTTGGGGAATGGAGGGGGTCTGCTGCCATCCCATCATCCATCTTCCTCTAGTAAGTCTTCCCCTAGAACGTTAACATCAGCTAGGTATTAACCTTGTTTCCCACTGATCAGTGCCCCACACCTCAAAAAGTGGGGGGAAGAGAAGAGAAATGGAGGGCCATCTTCAAAAGTTCTAAGTCTGGTACTTAGAGAAAGTACATCTTTCCAGTCTAATTCCATTCCCCAATATAAATCAGATATAGTATGCAAAGGGGAAGAAGAGTCAAAAAAGAAAAAGAAGGTAAATAAAGATAAAAGCACCAGAGAGAGACACAACATTGGGGACAGTATAGTCAAGAGATTAAGAATTCCTTGTACCCTACCAGTGTTGTGGAAGCATTTATCAGCACAGCAGTAATTATTCAAGACATAAACGTTGGAGAGCCTGGGTTGCTCAGTCGGTTGAGCTTCCAACTTCGGCTCAGGCCATGATCTCATGGTTCGTGGGTTCGAGTCCTGCATTGGGCTCTGTGCTGACAGCCCAGAGCCTGGAGCCTGCTTTGGATTCTGTCTCTCTCTCTCTCTCTCTCTTTGCCCTTCCTTTGCTAGTTCTCTGTCTCTCTCTCTGTCACTCAAAAATAAACATTAAAAAATTTTTTTAAAAAAGAGATAAATGTCATCTTGAAGAAATGACAACAATATAACTAACTTGTCAGACTAAATGAAAGATAAAGCAAATACCTTTCCCATGAATCTACCTTTGCTGGGATACCAGGTCTTATTTATCTCAGGGGTAACAAAAGATGTCTACTGATGTCCTAAGAGTATATTCCTAGTAACTGTATAAGCCTTACTTCTACAAAATGAAAACTGACTGTCTGAAATTTAATGTTTTCCCAATTATAATCATTATTCTGTTGCAAAGAATTAAACTTTGAAAAACCAATGCTGGTTACCAATGTGACCATATAAATGCAACTGGGGTTCCAGATTACTCAAGGATAGACACCTCAATGGAGGGCTCAGAGTGGCAAAAAAAAAAAAAAAAAATTAATCCCACAGTCACTAAAGTTAATATTCTAAAATTCAAGAGTTTATAAAACTGCAGAATTCCATCATAATGTGTCTTATCACATGCACTTAGGGACAACAGAAATCAGTTCTCATCTGAAGCACTGTATAACCCAGGTGTAAGATTCTTTGTGCATATGATGATCTGTGTGCATTTTCCATCACTTGTGAAACAATGGGCTTAGCATTGCCAAAACACCCCCTATATATGCTGTATGCTTGTTTTCATGGCCTATTTTATACTGCTCACTTAAGTGAACAACATTAAAATTGGAAAGTGGTTCCCTGAGCACAAAACAGTCTAATCTACCAATGCCTTTTCAAATCCCTAAACCAAAACAGCTAATTACATCAAGGGACTATAAACTCAATTTGTATTCAACATTAATACAACTAGGAAAATATAAGCAAGAAAAATATTTGCTTAATTTCTTGACCTAGCAAAATAGCTATACACTGACCATCAATCATTCAGGCTTATGTTACAATGTATCTTTATTATTCTCCCAAACACCATAGAAAGCTGGATTTAAATCCATATCTAAAGCATGAAAACAAGTGAAGTGAGGCCAGTATTTCTCGTGAATGGAGATATTACAGGACAGCAGCTGCTAAAACCTCCCCAAACTCCAAAGGTAGAACCCAATTCCAACAAAAAGAATCCTGACCCTACAGCAGCCCTGCAGTTGGAATCAAGGACTAAAGGGACTTTGGACAACCCTGCAGGAGTGATGATGTAACCTGAAGCTTGGTTTAAACAGAGAAAAGTACAGCAGATCAAAAGAAACATCACTGCAAACTCCAGCTCAATTAGGCTGCAGCCACTCCCTGATCCAGATTCCACTGGCTTACAACAACTTTCCCATTTCATAGTTTAAGCAAACCCAGTCAGTCTCTTAATGTCAATACCTTTTCTTTTCCTTGTCCCAGCTGCAGGTAAACATGTGAGCAAGATGCCTCTCCAGGAGTACAGAAAAGGTGAGGTAGACTTCCCGGTCATGAGAAGCCAGGCAGCTCACAGCCTTTCCCCCAGAAGCAAATACGATTTGTAACAGAGGCTCCTCCTGGACACCTTCTGTTCCTAACCATGTCCGATGTCAAGTTTTCAAGAAGCGAAGGTTAAGTGCCCTGCTCTGTAACACTCCATTCACTCTTCAGAAGCACAGGCTACCGCAGCAGCCGAGAAATGAAGCCTCTCCCGTCCCAACAGGAATCGACCACACCTCCAATGCGAGCTCAAATTCGCCTGTGTTTCCAAAAATGGGCGCCATCACCGAGCCGTCTTCTACTGGGCCCTAAACTGTCGGTCCTGGAAGTTTGTCTTCCCCTGATTCATTAGCTAACCAGCTCCGGGGAAGGACAGGGCCTTAGGATGCGAGGAGGCTGGAGCAAGCGTGCTCTTGGAGCCAGCTCTGGAGTCACTGCAGGGTCCGGCCCGCGGGGAGATCCACGCGGAGCCGGGGGCTGGGGCCTGCCCACTGCTGGGAAAGCCTGCTCCAGTCCACAGTGCCAACGGGCCTCAGGCTCGCAGCGCCCAGCCGCAGCTAGCGTGGGGCGGGGCTGTTGGGGCGGGGCGGACGCGGTGGGTACGCCCACAAGCTCCGCCCTCCCAGCTCAGGACTTCTCCGGGACAGCTCTAGGGCACTGCGCTGTGCAACTCAGACCCAGCCCTGGACCCCCAAAGACAATGTGCACACCTCAGCATATTTCCACCAGCTTACATTTAGGCGGAAACATGCCTTTTTGTAGAACAAAACAGATACTAACGATTTGGTATGATTTCAAACTAAGACCTACAGAGAGTATTTGGGAAATATATGGCCACCACGGTGGCTGGTTAACCGTGAACACTTAAGTGTTTATAGAATGAAAGCACTCTCCTCTCTTCATTCAGTAACTATTTACCAGATGTCAACTACCATATTTCCTCAATTTCTAACTCACTTCACTTCTACCCCTGTTGGCACCATACTTTAAAACACCCTCTCTCCCTTTGAAAAAACTACAGTGAGAGTAGTAAACACACATAACCATATTAAATTCCTTCTTCAACCTCCAAACGGAGATTATATTCTCTTCCCACTCTGGGAAAAGCATCTTAAATGGCCTCATTAAACAGAGAAGCTTGTTTTGTTTTTAAAGAAGCATTACCCGTGCCCCAATAAAGTCCTGGGCCTCAGATTTGTACTGCGTCAGGTAGTACACTCAGGGGTTTAACCTGTCATTACATCATGCTTATAGGGCAGCCTTTAAACACGGCAGGAGCTGGTAGTGGGAAGAGAACCCTGTGCAGTAAATTGTAGCTTACCCACTTTCCACATCAAATTTTAATTCTACGGGGCGCCTGGGTGGCGCAGTCGGTTAAGCGTCCGACTTCAGCCAGGTCACGATCTCGCGGTCCGTGAGTTCGAGCCCCGCGTCAGGCTCTGGGCTGATGGCTCGGAGCCTGGAGCCTGTTTCCGATTCTGTGTCTCCCTCTCTCTCTGCCCCTCCCCGGTTCATGCTCTGTCTTTCTCTGTCCCAAAAATAAATAAAAAACGTTGAAAAAAAAATTTTAATTCTAATCACTTCCCCACCCTATTAATAGTACATTCGATCATTTCAAACTTATTTTAACATTAAGCTACACAAAACATCATCAGGAATAGAAAGATCACTGAAAATAGATACAGTCTGCTAACAAATATAAATTATTATTACTTACATTTTTATTTTCTGATACATATTCATTCTAGATAGGTCTCAGGTTTCTAGGGAAGGAAGCTTCAAATGTTTTAGGCAGAGCAACTCTTTCCAAACCCAAATATAAAAAACAAGTCAAAGGGAAGGACTGATTCCTCAAGAAAAAAAAAAAAAAAATCATTTTTTCTCAAACTTCCAAGGATCTGTACAGAGCCTTACAGCACCATCTGAAAACCATTAATCTACAGACAAACCACTCAACAAGTGAGTCAGGACAATAAAAGAGGAAGCATTCTGGAGTCATTTACACACACTTGGGATTCAAACCTAGTCTTCACCACCTGCTCAGCTGTAAAACTGGGACAGTATTTCCAGCCTCACATAGCTTTTGTCTGGACTAAGGGAGATGGGTATTTATGTATATCATAGATGGTACATAGTCCAAAATACGTAAGTATTCACCTGACACCTCCCAAAGTTTCTTGCCTCACCTGAGTTCATCAACAAGAAACCTAGAAAGTGTGGGTTCCAAAAGATATGTTTACTTTGTAAAGGTGATCAACCATGTCTGCCAAAGATCAACTGCAATTTAATTTTTAGCACAATAAACCTTAATAGAATTGCTCGACCAGGTAGAATATTTACACTGGTTTTACAGAGCTGAAAATTTCACAAAAACTACATTACACTAAGACAAACCCACAGAATACAAAGTTAAAAAGTTACAAAATTTAGCAAGAGTGACCTATTACCTACACTTTCTTTTGTTTTTAATTTTTAATTTACATCCAAGTTAGTTAGCATATAGTGCAATAATGATTTCAGGAGTAGATTCCAGTGATTCATCCCCTGTATTACCTATACTTTCTAAAGCCTACATCTCAAGCCCAGTTTGGTATAAAGTTTAAATAAATTTTAATCCACATCGAAATATTTTATAATCAGCCTTTAATGCTATCTCAGTAATTTCAGAGCATTTAACCATTACTTTGTCACATTAACATACTATAAAAAGTAGATGGATGTAAACTTTTTTTTAAGTTTACTTATTTCAGAGAAAGAGAAAGAGAAAGAGAAAGAGAAAGAGAAAGAGAAAGAGA